TATACACACACACTGTATGGGTATATGCATGTATACTTTTCAGCAAGGTTATAATTATTATTATTATTATGATATACAGGTTATGTGTTGCTGTGATTTTGTTTTCTGCAGTTTTGCAGGTGTGCAGACAGATGTCAGGTGTGTTGTCTTGTGTTTTCTTGGTGTATTTTTACTCATATACACACACACTGTATGGGTATATGCATGTATACTTTTCAGCAAGGTTATAATTATTATTATTATTATGATATACAGGTTATTTGTTGCTGTGATTTTGTTTTCTGCAGTTTTGCAGGTGTGCAGACAGATGTCAGGTGTGTTGTCTTGTGTTTTCTTGGTGTATTTTTCACATATCTTCTAATCTCTCAATCTTTCCCATTACATTTCTCCTTTCAGTTTTCTTTTTCTTCTCCATATTTATTTAAAAAAAGGCTAAACTGCTTAAGTAAAAAATAGCTCTACTATTAGCCGGGTTTAGACCTAATCTGTGCCTATTTATACCGGTGCTAGTTAGCTGTTAGCGTATTAACAAAACCATGCCCACCACTGGTGCCAGGCTTTTAATTTAAATCGCAATCAAAAGTCAAATAAGTGAAGTTGAATTTCTGCTCCATTAAAAACAAAAATCAAAATACACCTGAAGAAATCCAAGTTTAAAACACAAACAAAGCGTGACTGCAACAACAACAACAACAACAACAACAACAACAACAACAACAACAACAACACGTGTGTTATAGTGGAGTGAAAGTTGTGGAAAGTTTAGCGCCCCTCGCCCCGCAGGCGCGCTGCGTCATAATCCGTCTGTTTTGACGCTTTAGTTATAAGCTGTCAGGTTTTATAGTTCAGCTGAAGAACCAAGAGGGAAGGTATGCATTTTATCCCCACAAAAACAAGCTAAACAGCAGACGGCTGGAGGCTCGAAGCAAAATATTTTATTTTATTTTTTTTTGTTTCCATGCCTGCGGACGATGATGTCAGGTTAACCCTAAATTGGCCAAATTATTTCCACACAAATTCACTGATTCTTAGCTTAGAGAGTAAAAACAATCCCAGGTTTCTGTTCAGTTCTGTAGCTAGACTAATGAAAAGTCCCGTCTCTGTTGAGCCATGTATCCCTGTAACTCTATGTAGTGATGACGTCATGAGATTCTTTATAGATAAAATAATTTTAATACGGAATAAAATTCATGCCAAACTTCCTGCTACTGTCTCTGATTCTCTGTCAGATGAGGCAGCTTTGGAACCTGATTTATGTCTGGACAGTTTTTGTCCTGTTGAGCTCTGAATTATCTAAAATAATCACTTCATCCAAACCATCAACATGTCTGMTWGATCATATTCCAACCAGACTGTTCAAAGAAGCATTTCCCTTAATTAATATTTATATGTTAGATGTATTTAATTTATCTTTAATAAATGGTTATGTGCCGCAGAGCTTTAAGGTTGCTGTAATTAAACCTTTACTTAAGAAACCTGATCTTGATTCAGGACTTCTGGCCAACCACAGACCTATATCTAATCTCCCATTCATCTCAAAAATATTCTTGATAAAATAGTTGCAAATCAACTATGTGAACAACTGGATAGAAATAATCTATATGAGGAGTTTCAGTCAGGGTTTAGAGCTCATCATAGCAC